TGGAGTTGGTCCGGCGATCATTCTAAATCCACAAAAATCTAATTCTGGAAACAAATACTTTATATGTAAAGCTTGTGGGAATAAGAATGAACTAATACTGCTGGGCAATCTGATACACAATACCTCCGTGAAGCTAGGATTCAAAGCTGGTTATGGAATAAGCTAATCCAAAATTACTATTGGTGATTATTGTTTGACTACATTTTAGTACTGATTTTAATTTTATATCAAACATGTGTACATGGGCGCAGTGAGGGGATTTTCTGCTAAACATAAATTTTGTAAAACGAGCAACCTTTAGAAGTCTGGTTTTGTTCAGTCAGTCCAGTTATGAACTTTACTGCTTTGGTTGCTCATAAATTACGCTTGGATTGCAGTAAGGACAGTTGATGCGAAAACTTAGTAAAATAAACCCATTATTTACTCAATTTTAAATCCAGAAATCAATAAATTAAATAATTAAATACATAAATAAACTTTAATCTATTCTAAATGAAGCAAAAAAATAAAAGTTGGTTGCTCAAATTAGATCTGAAAGGAGAATGTGAAATGTTGCCTTTTTTTAGGAAGTCTCACCATTGTCTATCCGTGGTATGGCTTCATTCTTATGTGAAATTGGTTATGGGGCCATGGTCGTCCTTGGAATGGTTTGTTTTAGCACCTAGTAGAGTTTGTCCTTAGCCCAAATGTTAGTTAGTGAAAATCTCTTGCAGGTGCTTGGTATGACCTCAGTACTAGGGAATTCCCTAGACATTCTAATGCTGGTTCCACTTGTACCCTTAACATTATCGCTAATCTTCTTAGCATTTATACCAGAAACACCAAAGTTTTTAATGATCATAAAGTAAGATTTTGAATGTATTCAACTTCAAATCATCAAAAGAGTTTTTCCTGTAGGGGTGATAGAGAAAAAGCTCTTCGATCGCTGGAATTCTTTCGCGGTGATCTGAAAGATAATCAACGCCTTCTGGATGATTATGAACGCGAAAAGCTTCAGGAAGCCACTCAAGAGCGTTCATCCTTGAAGGTATGCAACTAGAAGTGTTATTTACTGTTTGTTTACGAGCATTTTTTCCCAACAGGAAATTTTCTCCACATGGCATCTTCGACGAGCTGTGTTTCTAGCCAGCACTGTTTTATTCTTAACTTGGTCTTTCTATCCGATGCTTACCTCATCCACATCATTTTTCAGGCAATCTAATATTAATCAGTATGTTTTTTGCTTTACAAATTTTCTTATCAGATATCTATGATGAGATTTTGTCTTTAGCACGCTGGCAGAGTTGATGTCCGCCCTTCTGATGGTGCTTTTCACGATCTCATCAATTTGCGGAGCTTCAATTGTGGATCGATATCCTCGACGATTTCTCGTCATTTTCTCAGGCGTGTTAAGTAACGTAAGCTTTGAGATTTTTGCTAACGGAGCTTTTTGAGGGTAAACATTTCCAAATCATTATATTTAGGTTTTCCTTGCAATGTTCGCTGTATTCTCGATTTTCTCTTATTCGGCGGATTGGATCAAATATGCTTGTATTGCAGCAGCTTTATGCTACTGCATTGCATTTGGGTTTGTTCCTCTTTATAAGCACATTTTTAAGCACATTAACCATCAAGGGTTTCAGTTTAATTCTTGGTCCCGTTTCATGGTTCGTGGCTCCAGAACTCGTGCCATTGAAACATAAATCTCTTGTATTCTCATTATGTTTCGGTGCTAACAACGTGTTCATTGCGATCACAGATTTCCTCGCGATCGTATTGTTCCAGGTGATGTTTAAGTATAATTCAATCCATAGAGCTTTTTTCCTACAAAAATCAGATAAATCTGATTTTGAATTAGTGCATTTGGGCGCTTTCACTAAATTTCAGCATATTCCTCTCAGATCCAGCGTTTTGATTGTTTTCTAGCTTTTTACAGCGTAGTTTCTTTGTAGACGAAGTTTGTTTTGAAGGGTCCGCTTTCACTTGAAATCTACCGCGGCGCCAATACAAATTGTCGATTGTTTGTGGGCAATACTGCATT